TTGTTTCAAATGTTTTTATTTATATTTATTTATTTTAAAAATAATTCACTAATAATGTTAACATATTTATTATAATAACAATCATTTGTTAATTGTGTGTAAAATATGAGTTTGAATATGAGTGCAAACAAAAGCCCACAACAATCGGGAGTGGAGTCCAGTAATAGCCGATCCATACATACAAGTGATGTGAGGCCTACGGAACACGAGTCCAATGATTCACACAATGAAACACTTGTCGACGAAAATAGACATAAAAGTGAAGAAAATGTGATTAAATCGTTTCAATTGTTTCATGTTTTCGATGACAGAAGAGGTTATAATGTATTGTTTGTTACAAATGATGACATGGTTTACGGTTTGGGATCTAATTATTGGGGATCTCTTGGATTGGGACACAATCTATACCTCAATGAAATCCAAGTGATCGAAAGATTGTGTCACAAGAATATCACACAATTCTTCAATGGATTTGATTTTGTTTTAGCTCTCACTCGAGATAATTGTCTTTATGGTTGGGGTAATTATAATAGGGGACAGTTAGGTATGGCACACAAGAGTACGGATCACTCATACTTAGAACCGGTACCTTTTGATCACAAAAACATTGATAATAAAGCTATTTATCTAATAAGTTGTGGTTTTTATCACACAATGATTCTCACGAGTGATGGCTGTGTCTATGGATGGGGTTATAATAGATACGGACAGTTAGGTTGTGGTCCAGACATTGATAAACCAAACGGAACCATATTTCGAGTGAATTTCAAACCTAATTACGAAATTAAAAGCATTTATTGTTGTGATTACTCTTCATTTGCCATTACATCCAATGGACAGGTGTTTAGTTGTGGTAGAAATGATTGGTATAATTTGGGACACAATTCATCGGATAATATATGGAAACCACAACTCATTGCAGACGTGACTGGTATTAAGACTATCTGTTCCAATGGTGGCATCACTTACTTCTTATCAAGCGATGGATTCATTTATTTTTGTGGACGATATAGGAATGAAAACAACGAATATTTGTTACAAATATTACCAAAATCATTAAAAACTGATAAGAGGTTTACAGAAATTAATACAATTAGTTCACATAAGAATAACATATTTCAGTTTACTGCAATAATGTATGGCAAAATATATCTGATTACAAACAAACCAAACGATAACACAATTGAATCAAATTATACAAATTTCTTCGACTGTTCCACAAATGAGTTACAAATGACTCATAAAACCATTAATTTGTGTGAATATAAGGAATATAATTATAGGAATTGTGAAGAATTTCGTGCAAAATGTTTGGATTATTTGAAAAAATTATTTTCTTCTATAAACGAGTTATCAAACAATGGTATGAATTGGTTTTAACTGTCATTCATAGAGTCCGTACATTCAGTCAGAATTCACGACTAACACAGTGTTATCGATAGTATTGTATTATTATTCCCCGTTCATCATAAGCGCGTTTGATTTGATCTGAATTGAGTAATAACTTGCATAAAGTTTTGCAGTAAAACCAAATATGCAATTTTATTCTAAAAATGTTCTTGAATTAGTTTAATTTCATTAACTAGTACATTTTACAATTGTCTCTTTGTGTCAATTTGATGAACTTTCAAACAATTCAGCTTTCTAAACAAATTATTTTAATTATGAAAAAGTAATAATTAATTAAATTTATTATATAGTAAGCTTTTGAATTATACCCACTCCTTTAAGTACCTTTGAATGACATTTTAACAAAACTAAATAAATGAATTAATTAATTAATTTGTTTTATAATTGTTTCCGAAGTGAATCAATACAACCGTTTGTACGAAGAGTTGTATTCATTAGGTTCGGGAGCTTTTGGGGAAGTATTTGTTGTCAAACATAAATATGATGGAAAAGAATATGCGGTTAAAAAAATAAAATATGAAGGTAATTAAATGTATTGCAATTATTTATTATAGGAGTACAGTTTTAAAATGTATTTTTAAAGATAACTTGTTGGAACTCCTAAATTTGTTGGAATGTTGCGAAGAAATGATAAAATTGATAAAAGTTAGGTCAGAATATTGTGTCCAATATATAAATCAATGGTATGAACACAATGTGTATTACATTCAAATGGAGATGTGTTCCCATAGTTTGCAGAATATTCTTCAACACAAACCACAAGTATTTGGTCGACAACCGGGAGAACCCATGAATTCAATCGAATTTTACATTTCGTGTCATATATTCAAAGAGATCTTAGAATGCGTTCAATATTTACATGAATTAAAACCTCCGGTCATTCATAGAGATCTTAAACCCGACAATATATTAGTTGCGAAGAATGTAAGGAATGGCAGGTATTTAAAAGTGGCTGATTTCGGGTTGGAATCACTGAACTTCATTTCTTCTGTAAGTCATACCACAGGAGTGGGAACTCTTCAATACATGGCACCGGAAGTTAAACTGAAACCTAATTATACACCGAAAGCAGACATTTATAGTCTGGCAGTCATTGCCCACAAATTGTTTAATTTGAATAATTTAACGTAATTATTTTGATTTTTAGTTTATTTACATAATTCATTAAAATGTATTAATATTTTTGATTACAGTTCCCCGGAATTGAGTATTTACTCGGGATATCAATTTTACGAAAAATTCATTAAATTGGATCAAATCATAGACTCGATGTGTGTTCCCATTCATAGACACAGCCATCACTCGTGAGAATCATTGTGTGATAGAATCCACAACTTATTTGATTAATAGCTTTATTATCAATGTTTTTGAGATCAAAAGGTACCGGTTCTAAGTATGAGTGATATAAAACAAGTAATAAAACGGATGTTAAACTACGACAACCCGACTGTCAAACCCTCTTGTAGTCAAGTATTATCGGAATATAACTTATGGTCTATTCATGAGAATTGTCTCAAAACTGATCCCACATTTAATTCCACACTAAAACTCATTCAACAAAATGAATACAAGGTTTTCGCAAAATATTTGGCTGTAAATTTTGGAACAGAAAATGTCAGTAAATCGATTCAATTGTTTCATGTTTTCGATGACGAGAGAGGATATAATGTGTTGTTTGTTACAAATGATGACATGGTTTACGGTTTGGGATCTAATTATGATGGATCTCTTGGTTTGGGACACAACCGCTATGTCAATGAAATCCAAGTGATCGACAGATTGTGTCACAAGAATATCACACAATTCTTCAATGGAGTGGACTTTGTTTTAGCCCTCACTCATGATAATTATCTCTATGGTTGGGGTCTTAATATTAAGGGACAGTTAGTTATGGGACACAAGAGTACGTATCACTCATACTTAGAACCGGTACCTTTTGATCTCAAAAACATTGATAATAAAGCTATTAATCAAATAAGTTGTGGATTCTATCACACAATGATTCTCACGAGTGATGGCTGTGTCTATGGATGGGGTTATAATATGTTCGGACAGTTAGGTTGTGGTCCAGACATTGATAAACCAAACGGAACCATATTTCGAGTGAATTTCAAACCTAATTACGAAATTAAAAGCATTTATTGTTGTGCTTACTCTTCATTTGCCATCACATCTGAGGGACAGGTGTTTAGTTGGGGTAATAATCATTATTATAATTTGGGACACAATTCATCGGATAATATATGGGAACCAAAACTCATTACAGACATGACTGGTATTAAGACTATCTGTTCCGGTGGTCTCACATACTTCTTATCAAACGATGGATTCATTAAGTTTTGCGGACAATATATGAATGAAAACAATGAGTATTTGATACAAACTTCATTAAAAGTATTGAATACTGATAAGAGGTTTACAGAAATGAATATAATTATCTCACTGAAGGATAATTTGCGTCTGATTAATGCTATAATGAACGGCAAAATATATCAAATTACAGCTAAACCAAACGATAATATATATGAAACAAAATATACAAATTTCTTCGACTCTTTCACAAATAAGTTACAAATGACTCCTAAAACCATTGATTTGTGTGATTATAAGGAATATAATTATAAGAATTGCGAAGAATTTAGTGCAAAATGTTTGGATTATTTGGAAAAAGTATTTTCTTCTATAAAAGATTTATCAAACAATGGTATGAATTGGTTTTGGGATCATTCATAAAGTACGTACAATCAGTCAATAACATTAATTAACACAAAAATTTAAAATTAGTTCAGAAATTAATCAAATTAACAAGTACATTTTAAAATTTTCTCTTTTCTAACACTAATTCCAACTCTCATTACAATTTGATTATAATGTTAAAAACATTGTCAAACAATTAAAGCACATTTCTAAACAAATTGTAATATTAGTTATATTTATGAAAAATGTACAATATATCGTATAATTGATTAGTATTTAATAAACTTCTGACTAAACCTCCCCTCCCCCTCTGATTACGTACTTTTGAATGATGTTTTAACAAAAATCGTACATTGGGACTAAGACTTGGACTAGGTAAAATTGAATGTATTTATTTAATTTGTTTTATAGTTGTTTCCGATGTGAGTCAATACAAGCGTTTGTTTGAAGAGTTGCGTTCATTAGGTTCGGGAGCTTTTGGGGAAGTATTTGTTGTTAAACAGAAATATGATGGACAAGAATATGCGGTTAAGAAAATAAGATTTGAAAGTAATTTAATGATATATATATATATTTAGTATAACTATTACAGCATTAAAAATGTGTTATATTGTACTGTATTTGTAAATCATCCAATTTTGTCGAAATCTTTTATAAAATATTGATTTATTTATATTGATCACAATTAATAACTTACAGATGGTTACACTTTACGCGAATGTATGCAAGAACTGCAAAAATTGATAAAAGTTAGGTCAGAATATTGTGTACAATATGTAAATCAATGCAATGATGGGAATGTGTATTACATTGTAATGGAGTTGTGTTCCAATAGTCTGCAGAATATTCTTCAACACAAACCACAAGTATTTGGTCGACAACCGGAAGAACCCATGAATTCAATCGAGTTTTATATTTCGTGTCATATATTCAAAGAAGTCTTAGAATGCGTTCAATATTTACATGATTTAAAACCTCCGGTCATTCATAAAGACCTTCACTCCGGAAATATATTACTGGCCAGAAATGTAAGGAATGGTAGGTTTTTCAAAGTGGCTGACTTTGGGTCGGCTACTATTCGCAAATCTATATCAAACGTAAGTAACCCGACTCATGAGGCACCGGAAGTACGTAGGGGTGAGTCAAATGACCCCAAGAGTGATGTTTACAGTCTGGCCATAACTACAGAAGAGATATTTAGCTTTGATTTGGAGGACACATTAGAGTAAGTCATACAATATGTGATTGTATTGATATTAATTATAAAATAATTTCTATGTTCAGAAGTAGTTCACAGAAGTATTCATCGAATAATGAAGTGTTAAACAAATGTGTCTTTCATTTAAAACAAGTAATAAAACGGATGTTAAACTACGACAACCCGACTGTCAAACCCTCTTGTAGTCAAGTATTATCGGAATATAACTTATGGTCTATTCATGAGAATTGTCTCAAAACTGATCCCACATTTGATTCCACATTAAAACTCGTTCAACAAAATGATTACAAGTTTTTTGCACAATATTTTAATGCAAAATATGAAGGAATTGAAGCAAAGTTAGAGAATATTCACTTAAATTCTTAAATGAATTAAATTATAATTATTGAATATTTGTTATAATTTTGAAATTAATTGACTTAATTATTAATAACTAAAACTTTTATATATTTCCCTCATTTGAATTATTTGTGCTTTATACTTTTTAAACAAATTAGGATTTAATATAACAATATTACATAAATGTAATTATATTTACTTTGTCAGTGTGCTAGTTGGCTTCCTTTTACTATTCAAGTAAAAACTATTTTTGTGTATAAATTATTTCCGTATACAATACACACTCATTAACATAAAAATGATTGCATTCTTGAGCATTACTTTGCGTTAATCCCAATAATCATAATCTAGGCAATTATTTATGTAAATGTTAAAATATGTATCTATTTAAATACAAAATTTTAAATTATATTTAATACTTGAAACAAATATTAAATTGGCAAATAGTTGTACTCAGTTTTGTATAAATTTCAATAACTTTAAATAAAATTTATAAAACATAATTAAATTTTTAATTCTTACGAATAATGTCCATATTAAAACAAAACATTTTATAAACAACCTAGTACACTTAATAGTTAATTAAACATTAATATAAATGAACATGATCATAATACAAATTACTCAGTTTAAATGTATCCAGACGTGCGGATTGCGGATCAGCTACTACTCGACCGATGACACGCACCACTACTTCGTGGCTATCGGTGCGCCTTCGTGGTTTGCCGGACGGCCTACGGATCCGATCGCATTGAGGGCTCACTCTCATGACTCCCACTCTACACACATACAGATGTATTCACTGTAACCCACCGACACCTGAAGGGGCTGTGTGTCTGGTCATCACGCTTGACAACACCAATGAGCACCTCCTCCACCTCATAGTCACCCACTAATGCGTGTCACGGCTCCAGAAGCTGATTGTCATCACCACTAATGCGCACAAGTTTTCCAATAGTTCTTCGGCGGACTATCTCTACACACGTCTGAGGAGTGCTTCAGACAACTGGTGATTAGATGCCGTCATTTGGATGTCATTAAGTGTTCAAAGAGTTGGGATCTAATGGTCGGGTCAACAGTTATGATAGCTTTCTGTTCAGAGGAGACAATTCGTGGCAAACGGGTCACCACTTGTGAAATATCGAACCCAATCCTAAACATCTATTAGACGACTGTCCGCTAAATGTATGCGCCATTTAGTGGTCCAGAGGATGATCGGCACCACAATGGAAGCCATTTTCGGTCGCATGGAAGCGCTGGAAACACTCTTGTTCTCAATGGACGACCACTTGAATGCGAGAGACACTCAAAGTAGAGTCCAATCTGTTAACCGAAAACGGTTTTAAAACTGAAACCGAACCGACGGTTCGGTTCGGTTCCTATGTTTCGGTTTTAGAATTGTTTTTAAATAATTAGCAATTAGTTCATTTTCCCGCAGAGGCAGTCAATGAATGTCATAAATATACAAAAAAAACGTATTCAAACTGCAATAAAATATAAATATCTGAATTAATGTATATTTTAAATAAATATTTTGAAACATATAATGTATTTCATTTTAAAACAGTTCGGTTTTAACCTTTCGGTTTTTTTGATTTCGGTTCATAAAATGACCTAAATTTAGTCCCTCTAACTCAGTCTTTTTGAAACCGTCGGACAACTCAAGAACCTCAAGGTGTGGTTGGTGGCACCGACCCGTTCAATGTGATGGAAGTGTTACGAAACACACAATTAAAGGACTTAATAGTTACTAATCACTCATAAATCCATTGAAGACATCGCAGTGTGTCTGCCGTTTAAGTCCACTCTAGAGGTCGCGAATCAATGGCTGCGTTCACCACAAGAGTTGCTGATTGTGTGTCGAAACGGATGGATGGCTACGATGTGCGGCAAGTGTTTGCCATCAACTCCAACAACAGCCAACTGTGCGATGAGTTGACCACCGGATGTGTTGCCATTGCACCCAATGCTGTCACATATCAGCTGAATGTGTATAACAACGGTTCGCACACTTCGGACACAATCACCACAACTACGATGCCTTCAAAGATTTTGTGCCGGACTTAGTGGTCTTATACCGTGTGAGAGATATTAATCTTTTTTTTCTTATTAATATAGCCATATGTCAATCGTTACGTAAACCTCACGGGAAACTGTAGTTCGTATGACGGCTCGAGTGCCGGCGATCGACCCTTCCGTGCCGTTTAGTTTTCCTCATTTAATCATTAAAATAACATAAGATTTAATTATATAATTATATACAATATTTAATGTATACACCGAGAATCATTTCTGGAATTATGTTATGTTTAACGGCATAAAGCTGTTTACTTTCAAGTTATGTACAGTCAATAGAACTTATGTCATTTCAATGACAATATGAGGATGTCAGTGATGGTTGAACGTGAATTTAACATGCCAATTTATTAAATTCGCCAAGTTTAGCCAATTCAAAATGTTAATTGTGTTACCGGCTAACTATTCATGACAATCATAACCACACAATTTATATTTGTACCTCGATGTTTCCAACTCAGTGTATTTATGTCATCTAAATTCCTTTCATATTGTATTTCTTTATGCAAAAGTATCTATTCGTTTGTGATTATAATTTTGATTTTAAATATATATAATATTGTTTTTATTAATTTGTATTAGAGATCTTCCCTTGATACTTTTTTAGTATAAGGGTTGCGAGTTTATTAGATTAATAAAAATGCATTTTATCATTTTAGAAAATATACTGTATTATATTATTACAATTATAAAAACATGTTGAATGAATGTTTAAAATTTAATGTGTTGTCTCAAATTTAATGCAATGATATGTGTAAAGATTGTATGGATCGCATGGTTTACGAAACTCCTGTCCCATCAATCGGATCCATTTGGTGGCAATCCATTTGTGTCCCACGAGTACAGGACACCCGCTGTGCAGTGTCTGTCTGTCGAGTTCACCTGATTTGTCCAAATTGTGCCAAAATAGTGCCGAGTATTTTGTGGGCCATACGGTCACATTGAGGATTGGGAATACTGTGGCCCCACCGGCGCCCACATCGCTCAGGTAGTTGATCCACGTGGCGATACGCACCCTATCGTACGCTTTGAGAGTAAACGTGTCGAAGTGTTTGGAATAATATCCGCCGACACTATACTTAATAGCATTGTATGGTTGGGCGAACTCCATGTTAAGGCCAGTAATGGCACCGATACGTCGGCTGACTGTGTGCAAGAGTTTGTGCTGATCGTCCAAAAGCCAACTACCCCGAGCCAATCGGACGTGACCTCTTGTGTAATCCCTTTTACCATCCTTTCCCAAAACGAATAACTCGTGGAGTGATGGCTGAGCCAAAGAGACTATAGTTTGTGTCTCGTATTCCGACAGAAAGTCATGGATTACAACGATTTGCGGACTTTTGTACACCTCTTCCACTTTAATGCGAGTCAACCGTAAAAACGGTGTTTTCGTTGTGTTTAAGTGAAAACACTTGAGTTTCGAGACAATCGAGTCATTCATAAGTCTCTCTCCTCGACATAATTCGTATACATTTGCAGACAAACCAAAAATCGGTTTATGTTTGACATCAGAAGATGTGCTATTCGTGTCATTAAACACATTGATCTCTGATATCAACTCTTTTGTCTCGATGTCTGGCTTTATAGCGGCCGACAGTCTCTTATATTTTTGGGCTTCACTTCGTTTTCCAATTTTCAGTTCACAAAACGATAGGTAATTAAAAGTGTCTGCAATTGTCTCATCGCTGGTCATGTCATCCAATCTATCGACCGCTTCTGTCAGCCATTGCTTTGCATTCGAGTACTCCTTGTTATCAAACGTTTGTTTTCCAATCAAATAGCAGTCGAAAGCATTTAAAGCAACTTTGGATTGATTTCCATTTGCAATCACTTCAGCACCGGAACTACTCTTAGATCTAATGAATCCATTCGCTAATGACTTGATATCCAAATCGTAAGTATTGACGAGACTTATCACTCCAAACGCGGCGTCTGTCCACAAGTTGTCAATCATTTTCATTAACATCTATATTATTAATTAAATTTCTTTTGAATACCTTTTAGCTCCTCATGAGTGATAATCTCATGACTACTGGACACTGACTGCGAGTCAAACGTGACATTCAATGCATTTGTATGCTTAGAGAGACCACCGATTTGTCTCATTTGGACATCACTTAAGCGCTGGTCTTTGGTTCGCAACAAATCCTTCACTTCTTTCCAGTCGATAGCCATTCGTCTGATGAGAAGATATACGTCGAGTGGATGTCCTAAAAGTGAGCCCTCGGTGTCCTCTTTCAGTGCAATTGAGTTCAAACTGATATACGTCGAGTGGATGTCCTAAAAGTGAGTCCTCGGTGTCCTCTTTCAGTGCAATTGAGTTCAAACTCAATGAGTTGTCTGTCAGTCGTCTTAAGCGAGAATTGAGGACCTCTTCGGACACCAAGTATTCACTCAACGACTCAATCATTACCTTCTCTTGCGTTAAGAGATTCTCTAGTTTTGCGAAATCACTGTTAAAACCATTCACTCGTCCATTGAATCTCAATATATAATAAAATACGAAACTTATAATTAGGGAGCTTTTCATTTTGATCACACGATATGTTTAACTATATTTTTAATTAAAACTTTTGACCAAAACTAACAGTAATTTCCCAGATTTATTTGAAATGAATGCAAGAATACAATACATTTTTAATTAAAGTTGTTATTGTAACTTTATATGAATATCAAAAATAAATTTCAAAAGTGGACATTCAATACTAAACATGTGGTCATTTACGTAAATTAAAAATTTTGCAATTATCTGTAATTCATTAAAATAAATTTATCATTACTACCATCTATGAGTTGATTTTGTATAAATATAAAATAAGCAAATTAATATTTAAATTTTCTAAATTAAAAATATAAAATATATTTTGCCATATATTTATTTGTATATTTGATGAATAATTATATAAAAATATTTATAGACTAACTAAATAAGCTTTATCTATAAAATGAATAATTACTATATCTGGCCTTAGAAAGCAAATTGAGGATTACATATAGGATATGAATTTAAATACTTTTCTTTGCTTTCGAGTAAAGTATAAAATTTAATAAAGTTTAATATAAGTAGCATGCATTGTACATTGTATATTGAATGATAAGTATTTATTCAAATATAAAACTAGTCATAAACTTAGTTATGTACAATGCATGCTACTAATATTAAACTTTATTAAGTTTTATACTTTACTCGAAAGCAAAGAAATATATTTAAATTCATATCCTATATATAATCCGCAATTTGCTTTCTAAGGCCAGATATGATAAATTATACTAACATTAATTATATTTATTAGTTATTACTACAAAATAAATGCTACTTGTTAAACTTTTTTTTACACAATATTTTCAATTATACTCAATATTCCCCGTAATAATAGTGACAAATAGCATGCATATTACATTTATGTTAAATTAAATACTAATTAAGTAAATACTGTATAATTAAGTTTGAACTTATTATTCTGTTTTAAAAGCAAATTGCATATTACCAAGGACATGAACATATAAATACCGTAAATATATTGAGTTTATTTAAAGTTTGAAAATAAAATGTATTTATCAATAATTATAAACGGGATAAATATTTTTTGATATATAACCAGCAACAATTAAAGCTTGAGCCATAAGTAATTGCACAGAATCTGATTGTTTATGGCGCGCTTAAGACTTAATTGTTGGGATCAATCTATGGTCCATTTGTAGGCTATTTATCACTGTTTGTGAATATCTTATTATTTACTGTACATTATTATCCTTAATAAAATTATAGCACCTAGAGCACATACCTTTCCGAAAATAGTTGTGCAAAGTATGTCGCATACTTTAAATTAAAATTTTTTCCCAATATATTCACATAGAGATTTTCTGTTGTGACTTTGAAGTTAATTTTTGAAAAAGTTATTTGATCTAATGCATTGAAAACACCACCAAACTGTAGCTTATTTATCAGACATTCATTTGATATGTTATTTGGTTCTGAAAAACTCACTAAATAAAAATATCTCATTTGTGACCACTTTTTGACCCATAGAAAACTCAATGCAATTTTACAATGGGTTTCAATTATCTATATTTATAATGTATTTTTCAGAT